CTTTGTCCAAATGAAAAAGAAAAATTAACAGCGTAAAAATCCACGGTGGTATTTTCGGGAATGCGATCGATGCACCACATGATCTGTTAACTTAACAGAGTGAGCGCGCAGGAATTTCAATACAGGCGAGGGTGTTCAAGAGTTGCGGATGGCTAAAAATAAAAAGGACTACTTACGATACGATTGTTGACGTCGCTGCTTCGGTATACGGTTATTTTTAAAACAACTGGGTTACGTCGCTGGAAATACGACGACGTGATCAGGGCAGCTGAGAGAAAAAAAAAGTTTGTGGTGTCGTCCGATTGATCGATAGTCTATTCTTACGAAGTAAGCGTGTACGTGCGCGTGCATTATTGTTGGATGGGTTTTGGTAATTTTGTGGGCGAATAATATATAAGTATCCTTACATCATGAGACACATTCACATACTCGAGCTCCAATCAGTGAATCAATGTTTTTTTTATTTTTATTTTCAACATATCGAGTCGTTTAATGAATCTAAAAAATGTCGCAGTAAGAAGTGAACTGGACTGTTTGTGCGTGTGCTTTGTTTACGTGGATGTCGACGACCTCGCGGTGAATTAATACTGCCAGTCGTTGGAGCTAAAAAATTGCTATTTCAAGCTTACAGAAAGTTTATAAACATACAAAGTTTGTCATTGGTAGCCAAACATTTGAGAAATATTAAAATCATCAGTATTTATTGATATTGCCCACTTGTACCGTAATGGGGTAAAAGGGGAGTATACCAACATTATTAAAATTGTCTCTTTTAGACGTGAGTCTATATATTATTATTTATTATTTTTTCACGTATATAAGTACAATCGCTAACTTTTTTGCCGGTCTCTGTCGTCGATCTCGTCTTTTTTTTTGTTTATAATCCAATAAGGTATGAGGTAATAGTTACCCGTAGAAGTTTTTATTTGACCATCGAAAGGCCAATCGCTCAAAACATTTTTGTCAAAAATGTTAAATTCAACGCGTAGCGAATTATTTTATCACCACAGTAGAGCGTAGAAGAACACTCTTATTTACCCTTACGTCAGATAAGATAAATCTGACGCCATACTATATAGTAAACATCAAACAACCAAAATCAAAGATAGGAAAAAATAACAATGACTCCTCTTTTCGGTTAATAGTTATTGTCTTGTTTCGCATACGAAATGCGTACCATCATCACCAAGTGATCACTAATGCAATTAATGGAAAACATATAAGTATAATTGTGAACAATTGTACCAACTCGGCTGTACATATCTCAGCATCAATTTGCGCTCCGAAACTCCGTTATTACAGAAGGAAAAAAAAAAGCTCATTTTCTTAATGCCTCGTGTGCACCTGAACACATTTACCTCGCTTCGAACAAGAGAAACAACTTAGTATACTTTTACTACCACCAAAATCCAGCATCACTGGAAAAAAAAGAGAGAAACACATTCCACAACTCCGTATATTTTTCGGAGCAAAACCCGTTATTTAAAGCACGAACGTATACACTTGTATATATTATAATAGTACGACCTCGAGTACGACGTTAAGCTGCAAGTATTTTTAAACTCACCACAAACGTTGAGCCAGCCCTCAACGCGGCAGGGGTACTCGAGCCTCATGTTGGCGTGGAGCACCAGGATCCGTCCTCGTCGTCCAGCAGAACCTCTTCGAGATTCTTTCAACGTTCACATAACGGCAACACCACCACTTTGTACCATGGATAAACAAAATTATTCTCCTCCTCCTTTCAGACACACTCTACGTATATTTATATATTATTATTCGCAAACGTATACTTATATATTCGACAAACACACACCTGCACTTGAGAAATGAGGTAATGAACAGGCACTACTTTTTTTTACAACACTTTGAAAGTCCACCACGACACGGGTACAAGTCACCTGTTCAACGTTCGACGCCCCCGAATTTTCTCACACCCCTTCGGCTCGCAGATTCTAACGCCCCGCACGTGGGTTGGGATTTTAGGGTATTTCACAAAAATCACGCGCACTCGAGGAATACTCGGAATACTCTTGTATTTGGCAAGACGGAAGAAAAAAAGATCGCGAACAACGCGAGTACCATGACACGAACGCACCGGCGAACGGATTCAAACTGACGCTTCGTCCGCTTGGGCTCTCCTTTCTCGGCGCGATGCCTGTGGCGGCAGCTTTCTCTCGCGAGCCGGCCGCGTGTTCTATACATGTATATGTGGGTATATATATACATATATACACACAATTGGGTGGAGTGGTTCGACCGATAAGGCAGGTGGAGTCGATTTTTTTTGGTGTTTCGGAGCACACGTGGGGATTGTTTTTTTTTTTTTTTTTTTTCTTTTTATCGTCAAAGTTTTAATCACGCGTGCAATGGGACAAAAACACTTTTAACTCGTTTGTGCTTCTGTTTGATTTTCGGCGTTTAGGTATACCGTTGTTAAAGTAAACAAATCCCGACAACATAAATACGTTACAGATCAGTACAAACATCGACGGTTGATTACGTTTTTCTCGCAACAAGCAAGTTTTAACGTAATATCCTTTCAATTTGTTACACAACATGTTATGCACGAATGTTTTATTTTTAAAATACTTTGATGAAGCTATGGGCTGCTTGGGATAAAAAAAAAATTGTGGAATACCGAAAAGCGTGACACCTGTGAAACAATACCATGGAAAAAATGATAAAAAAAAGTAATATCGATCGGCCAGTTCTCTGTTCTGCTTCCGGTAAACGAGGATTAACTTTCCAGGTCTCTTGGCCCTTCGCTGGAGACAACACCATCTCGTCATCTTCCGCATTGTGTGTTGCAACAACGCAATTTGTTCTTTAATACTATGTTCAAATGTTCAAATTAAAAGCCACTCGTGCCACTGTCGACGATAAACTACACACAACAGCATATGTGGGCTTTTCCTCCACTATAAAGTACACCATCGCGGGGACAATAAAAGAGTAATTTCGTGTTTTACACGGAGTGGCAGGAGCGTAAAAGATATTACACGAGTTGAGCTGCAATGCGCGTTCGCCGTGCACGAGCAAAGTTACATTAAGCGTATAGAAGAGCTTCGCTCGGCTGCATCTGCTTATTTTCTTTTCATTTACGTTATCTCTATACATATATTATTATGATGCGCCTACACTACACGTGTAAACACTTGTAAGGGGCCCGTGTGTAATTTACATTTAAACCACGAGTGCATAAAATAATCATACAAACGCGGTCCCTATTAAAACTGTAAATAACACCCACCACTTATATTATACATCCAAGTTCTTATAGGGTATAAATTTTAATGCACCTTATACGTGTTTGTCCGCGTTTTAAACGGAATAAGAATAGAGTTGAACGACCTGACTTGATTTGCTAGTAGGTATACATAACGATGAGCAAAAGTTGCGACTCTTTCGCACTTGCGTGTATATAGCCGACACAAAGTTTTCCATCCGATATCATACAGCAAGTGTAGGCGTCCAGCGATGTTACCAACATTGTCTTGAGCCGGATAATCCTCTAAAGGACTCTATTGTCCTCGCTGGCGCGAGCCCCCGGAACTTTGCCTTTTAACAATATCTCAAGAGATGCGGAGTACCTATGAGCGGTTGCATGGGAAAGTCAGAGGCGCCAGTTGCAGCAGAAGAACGAAGACAACTTTCGAGGGTTTTCATTGTCCTTATCGTTAAAATCATTCGGGGATTCGGGAGGTGTGAATTTTGTACAAATCGTGTATTTTTACTTTCCGTGTACTTCGTGGTATCGTTTCTCTGGAAAATGTTCTTTATCGGCGAGCGATCAAACTTACTCAATCGCGGGGTGATCGACAGTTGTAACGTTGATGGGCTCTCGGCAATTGTTCTCGCGTCGTTGTCTTGGCAAACAAGTTTTCTCTCCGCTCGTGGATGGTCAACTTCATTTCGTCGTGCCTCGTACTGTGTTGTGGGAACCTTTTTTTTTTTATCATTGAAAAGTAATTGAAGGGACGAGCTCTTTTTTTTTTTTTTTACTTTTATCCGAAAAATTTTTAAGTGCACAGGGAGTACGGAGGAAGCGAGAAAGAAGTAGAGACGGCAATGGAGCAGGCACCGCCAACGAAGTCGTAAAAAACAAGGAAACACGCTTAGGCGCGTAAAAGAGGGAAAGAAAAGCCAACGGGAATCTCGGGCTTTCGGAGTATAGGTGGGTTGTATACACGTGAGGCGAGTTGAGTCAAAGAGAGAGAAAGGTATAGCGATTTACGACCAGATTCCGGCAGATTACGCTGACAGAAGGGAAGGCGACACTTTAATCTGGAAAAATACCGGCTACGAAGACACGTTCATTGAAAGACGCATATTCCTTGATTTTTTCTTTTTTTTTTTTTTTCTCAACTTGGAAAACAAAAATGTACGTAATTAAACGATGTGTTCATTTTAATGTTTGATTTAATTTTAATGTTGTTGTACCTGATTCCGATGATTTACTTTTCATTATTCGAAAAAAGTTCTATCTCGGTTTTAAGTTGAAAATAGTTTTGAAAAAAAATCTCTACTTTGAGTTTTAGAAAAAGGAATTTTTTTGACTGTCAAAGCATAAAAGTGTCTCCTAAATTAATTTCCATACATTTTTAATCGATGTAACAAATCTCCCATACGAAAAAGTGATATAGTAGACAAAATACAAATTATTACCAGAAAAAAGATCGAAATGATTTTTCTTTTACCAACAAAACACTGAGATAGTTATAAAATGAAAGTAGTATTGGAATGAACGTCATGATGATAACAAAAAAATTGTTGCTACCTTTGTTCAAATACCCCGCCAAAGAGAGATACCGGCCTTACCAGCAGCTAATAACATCATGTGTTTTCCACGAATCTCCCACAGATGTCTCCAAGCGCCCGATCAGCTGTTCCCATCGCGAGTCCCGTCTACATACGATATTACTCTCGGCGTAGGTGGCCACGATAATAACATCATCCTTACCATCATATATAGATAGTACAAGCGGCTGCTGCTGCTGGGCTGCGCCGTCGTCGTCGTCTCCTTCAGTGTTTTCTCGGAGCGCGTTCGCAGGGAAACATACAATACGTCGCGAGGGAGAAATAACTGATTCATCCAAACACACAACTGACAGTTGTTCGGCTGCTAAGGCCATAGCAGTAGCAGAACGCAACACTCGTTCGGTCCGACAATTGTACACATATATATATATAACGCGTATTTATTGTACACAGAAGACCCGTACAAGTGAGAAAGAGAGCAAGTTCTGTCAAAATGGCGCTCAAGGCACAAGTTGGTCAGAGTGAGTACTCGAAAAATTGTGCAAAACCTCAATCTGTCACGCATACCCAGCCCATGGCACACCACCTCATCTCGGTTACCTTACCCCCCCCCCCCTTCGGCATTTTACGTTTCGGAGTCGATGGAAACAGTATATAGTTTAGTGAGGTGACGAAATGGTTGTATTTGTGTCAGACGTTTGTCACGCCGTTGTTGTGATATGGACGTGCGAGAAGGAGAGGGAATACTTATCTCTGTCGGGTGATGATTCATCGACTCTCGCGGAGACGCGGCGGGAGAGAAAAGTCGGCTGCTCCGCCCTGTACGATAAGAGGATTTTTATTTACAACGTTTTTTTTTTTTTTTTTCATTCCGGGGTACTTACCTACTTGCATTTAAATACTATAAGGTGAGATGGTCAACTTGTGCGTTGCTCCGTTTTGTTTCTGCAACAGTACAATAAGTCTGTCACTATTTTTCGGAGCAAATTTTTGTGTATACTTATTTGTTTTGATTTTAGAACCACTTTGACAGCAGTCATATAAATGAGCAGGGATGATTGTTTTGAATCATTTTAATGATTTTTGTTGTGTTCGTATTGCATTTTTGAAAAGTCGTATTTTGATACATTTTATTGTTATAAACGATACTTCCGTTATGATCAAAAAAAAATTTTAATTTATCGTATGATTAATTTTATTGCAAAATTAATGATTAAAACATAGTTTTTGTCATTTTTATCTTAGACAAGCTGTCACTCAAATTCATTAACGTACATGTTATCTGTTAACGACGTAAAATTACAATTTTAATCCTTTAAAATCCTCTTGGCCTCCTCGTGAACACAATCACAGTTTCATATTGTCAAAATGCAAGAAATTAAATACTCTAAAAAAAAAAACTTATTTATTTTCGTCCTTGTCAAGCAAGCCTGTTTAATTAAAATGTCACCCACACCGAGCGCTAATTAGCTGGCAATGAGTATATGTTTATTAGTGAATCGCAAAGAACGTGTGTTTACATAATTTTTGTTATCATTGCGTGTGATAAAACTTATCGGTTACGACACCTTATTCTCCACATCGTAAAATATTATTCTGATCATTACAATCGTACACCCAATGAGTACGAACAGAAATTGGATTTGTTGACGAGGATATCCATACGAGCATAAATTACCATAAAGCCAAGTTCATCTGTTCTGTTAACGAACTGGTGAACGGGGATGAAAACTTGATAAGCTAAATTCCAGCACATAAGATAATTAGAACGGGTTAGGAGCTTGTAATCGAATTAATTAGGCCAGGACAATCCGATCATACGTGTGCTGGAGAAAACGTCAATTAAACGTCAATTTTGAAAAACGGCATCGAATGGTGTTATTTTGTGGATAAAATTCATTTTTTCGCTATTACAACAGCAGCAATGAAAACGTTTATGGTAAATCGTTGATATATCGTATATGATGCCCAATACCAAAGAAACATTGTTTTTACCAGAAAATACGAGTGTGTAGCATATCATGTAAATTTTTTTTTTTTATTTTAAAACAGTTATCAGATATTTTTTTTTTTTTTTTTTTTTTTTTTTTTTTTTTTTTATAAAATTTAAACGCAATCAAAACACACGTGTGCATGACTTAAAATATTGATTAATTCAAATGAATCGCTTGAAATCTTACTATTTTCGCAGTTTTCGCATGTCTGAAATGTTAAGTGACAATGTGAAACATATGCACGTCTTATCTTCCTCTCTCATCTGAGCGAATTTCTTCAAGTAAGCTACTCTAGTAAAGTGGCGTTTACTTATTGCGAAATAACAGCTCTTTATTTAAAATGTTTTTGAAAAAGTGGTTTGCAGTAAAGAAACAATTCAACAAACGGTAACAATGATAGTTTCAACTCATGCTTTACAGAAGTAAAATAGTAACATATGATTTTTAAATTAAAATACATTAAAATATAATGAAATTCGCTTTAATTTTGTACGAATCGACCATTATATTTCATAAATCAACTTTTTTGTGAAAGGTATCTGTCATATACGAGTAAAGTGACGTAAACTCATTTGAACCTTCTAAACTTCAAACTTTTTACTCGACTTTTTACGAATGTTCTTCCCCCAAAAGGAGAAAAAAAAATATTCTAGAAAAACTTTTAAAAGTAAAAAAAACCCTCCTAAGCTATTTAAAGACGAGACACTACTTGTCAATGAAATCCAGTATGATAACAGTAACTACGATGTTACAAAAATATTTCCGATAAAATAAAAAATAAACCAGTTTTAGTCGACGAAACGCTCGTTGTATTAATAATCGATTTTAAAGTTACTCCAAAAATAGTTTGCGAATGGGAATACATGATTCCATCAAGCCACTCGTAAAATCGATGATAATTTAATATTGAAACTTCATGGCGCGCAGTATAAAACTAGAAAGAAAAAAAAAAAGAAAAAAAAAGCAATTGCGTCACTGCGATTGATTTTCCGAACTTGACATCTGCATTACATAAGACACGGGTACTTAATCCGGGCTAAAATCTTCCGTTTGTATAAATATATACATCGAAAGTATCGCCTGTGCTCTCTTGTCCCCCAATTATCGAAATACGCAGTTACCACTCATTTATAAATGAGAAAAAAAAAGGGCGGAATTTTCACGCGAATTATTCATCACCATTCGTCACCACCAGGCTAAACCGACAATTTTCCTCCTCACCTTTGTCAATTAAATAATCAAGCCCCCAACGTACCAACCCACGCTTATACCCACGCAAATTCATATACCCCCGTGAGGTTGAAATTAGGTAAAACGTGTGACGTGCGTGCCGGTGTGCGTATGGGAGGTCAAAGGTGACTCTGACCTTTCGCCACTGCGCACCACCGCTGTATTATATGGGTATACGTACGTAAGTTCTCCCACGCCACCATCATTACGCTTAATAGAGAGAAAGGGCTGGACACGGGGATAACGTGAGAGAGCCTATGTATAATAGTCGGATACCTCGGTGCCTCCCACACGGCTGGGCCGAGTCTGCGTGTGACGTCACGGGCCAGAGAGAGCGCCGCCGATCAATAACTCAGAACAGAGAGGGTAGATCAGAGAGGGAGGAGGAGTGTATCTCGCGACGCGTGTGCGCGAACTCTGACGCCCCTCTTTGCTGGCTAAAGCTCTGGTGTGCTCTGTGTAAGCGCATATACATATACAATGTGTGTGTGGTATATAGCCGTACACCGGAAGCTCAGCCAAAACCTTTGCGCCGATTATATATACGCGGCTGACAATGCAGTGACGAGCAAAATGGCACAATTGATAACGTGCGCATCGAGCACATGATATTTCTTTCTTTCCCTCTTTTCATCGACACGACGTACTTGTAATGAAGGCTTTTTTTTTTTTTTTTTTTTTCTTTTTGGGAGGTTTTTTTCGTAAATGCCCGCAAGGGCTCGAATAAAATTGGCTCTGCTTTAAAATACCACGCAAACTATAATGCAAGTGCCATTAAATCGTTACTAGATTGGTATTCCAATTGAATGCACATTAAAAATATAAGTATATCCAACGAACCACAACGTACATGGTCAATTAAACATTCGACATAGTAATCAACTCTATACCGATTTATTTCCATCACAGCCCATAGATTAAAGATCTAGAGTATATCAATTGCTGTTACTATTGTAAGCAATTTCATCGTCTTCGTTTAGTACGGACAAAAAAATCTCATCAGGGCTTTACATTTTTGAGCTCATAGACGTGATTTTAATTTTCACCATTTGTTTATTATGCAGATCGATTGATCGCTAATTTATCTTTCCTACCGGTCAATTTCGACGTTTATAAAACTGAAAAAAAAAAAATTAATTTCGTAATCAAAAAAAGAGTACCTGCTGTCAGTTTCCAAACAAAAAGATAAAAATAACGTCCTGCACCCCTCACTGACATCCAGGAGCGGGAAAAAAAAATTAATGGACAAAAAAAAACAAATAAAAAAACTTTTTTCCCAGAGATCATGAACGAAGTGATAAAGCAGAAGAAAAAGCAAGCGGGCGGCATGGAGTGGCGAATCCTGGTGGTCGATCAGTTGGCCATGCGCATGGTCTCGGCCTGCTGTAAGATGCACGACATCAGCGCCCAGGGCATCACCCTCGTCGAGGACATAAACAAAAAGCGCGAGCCCCTGCCGACCATGGAAGCCGTCTACCTCATCACCCCGACTAATCTGTCCGTCAACAAGCTCATCGACGATTTCAGTAATCCCACCAGGACCATGTACAAGGCTGCTCACGTTTACTTTACCGAAGGTACACTGGTTACTTTCAGCCTATGCTTTTTTTATTTTACTATTATTATTTTTTTTTTTTTTTGTTTGATACAAAGTCGACGAGCGAGAGATTTGTGTTTTGTGCTTTTTCTTTTTTACATTGATTCAAGGGTGATTTTTTGAACGGTAAAAAATTAATACTCAAACACGTCGCTAAACGTTGTTTTACACTTCCAAATGAGTTACATACTTTTAGACATGTATGTGCTCTGATTGTATAGTGGGTACAAAATTATTGTTAAATCGACGACGAAAAAAGCGCAAATTTTCTTGCGATTTACAGAGAATCGCTGAGAATCAGAGTTTGTCTCTTTACAGCGTGTCCCGACAATGTATTCACTAACTTGTGTCATTCGGCGGTAGCTAAGTTTGTTAAGACATTGAAAGAGATCAACATCGCTTTCATTCCATACGAGGAGCAGGTAATTTACCTTAAAACAAAAAAAAAGGCAAAAATTAACAACAAGGCCATAATGAATATTTAGCAAGTTAATAATACATGCGTATGTTTATTGGATGTGGTTTTTTTTTTTTTTTTTTCAATAAGATGATTGTTTCACCGGTGAAGGGCTCACCCAACTAAAAATACTCACAAAGATCTCTTTCGATTTCCTCCTGCAGGTGTTTGCGCGGAATATTTAAATGTTCTGCGGCATCTGTGAATTAACAAGTACATTATGGTAATCCTGAAAAAAATAAATCTTTATGCATTACTAAATAATTTATTCAAACGTTACCGTAATGTACATCGACTAAATAAAAACTACCACTACTATACGTGTAAGTGTGTCGTTTGTGGGATATCTCTGTTTTCTGTATGTATACTTCTTCTTTCTCTGTCGACTTTTATTGACCATTAAAAAAAAAAAAAAATCTCACAGTAGCACCGTATGAATATATATATATACTAACAATATGTATTATGTAAAACGTCAAAATCCATGCTTGCACCCCAAAAAAACAATCTACCAGTGTGTCCCGAGGAGTTGTTCAATGATATCTGCAAGTCGCTTGCTGCGAAAAAAGTTAAGACCCTCAAAGAGATCAACATCGCTTTCTTGCCCTATGAATCGCAGGTGAACACAACAATGAAAATATTGTAGAAATTATTTATGATTTTTCATTTAAAAGCTATAAAAAAAAAAAAAAAAATTACTACGTTTGCTCGTTTGATCGAAACTTTTGTTTTTTCGTCACTACTTGTACTTACCCATGTGTACATAACTACTGCTGATTCTAGATTGGCATTTTGATTTTGTTGTTGATTAATTTTACACTTTTACATTTAGCATGACATATATCGACGTATCATTGTAGCTAGAGATGATTTTGTCAACGCCTACGAGCTACAAAAATCAGTTGATAATTTTATCTCGTGACGATTATTGAACAACCTCTATTTTTCATTCATGCGCCTATATTTGAATTCTCAACGCATGGCTTGTTGCAAAAATATATGCATCCAACATTTAATTATTTTTCGTTGCTTCGAGCTTTTTATCATCTGTTTTCGTAAATTTGCGCGAAAATCCCCAAAGCTGATGTTACAAGTCAACCGATTTATCGCCAGGTATTTTCGCTGGACTCGCGAGACACGTTCGCTTGCGCCTACAACCCTTCGCTCATCGGAGCTGCGAGGAACGGAAACATGGAAAGAATCGCCGAGCAGATCGCGACCCTCTGCGCCACCCTCGGCGAGTACCCATCAGTCAGATACCGATCGTACGTGAAAAACGTTACTTTATCCCAGAAAACACCCTTAATCGGTATCAAAATGTTTTTGTTTTTTTTCGTTAACAATTTCCACTGTGAACAGTGATTTCGATCGCAACATGGATCTCGCCCAGATGGTTCAGCAAAAGTTGGACGCGTACAAGGCCGACGAGCCGACGATGGGCGAGGGCCCGGAAAAGGCCCGTTCCCAGCTGCTGATCCTCGATCGCGGCTTCGACTGTGTCTCTCCGCTCTTGCACGAGCTCACTCTCCAGGCCATGGCCTACGATTTGCTCGAGATCGAGAACGACGTGTACAAGTGAGTCAACCGGCACATTTTTTTTACTTCATCCAAGAGAATCCATCGTGATGACTTGTGTCATTTTTTCTCTTCCGGCAGATACGAGGCATCCGCGGGACAGGAGAAGGAAGTCCTGCTGGACGAGAACGACGACCTGTGGGTGGAGCTGAGGCACCAGCACATCGCCGTCGTGTCGCAGTAAGTTGGACGATACAGCGACGAACAACGTGTCGTTGGAAAGAAAGGGTGAAGCATCGGCTTTGTTTTTCAGGAACGTGACGAAGAATCTCAAAAAATTCACCGAATCCAAGCGCATGCCGCAAGGTGACAAACAGTCGATGCGAGATCTCTCGCAGATGATCAAGAAGATGCCTCAGTACCAAAAAGAGCTGAGCAAGTACGCCACCCACCTCCATCTCGCTGAGGATTGCATGAAGCACTACGCGGGCAACGTCGACAAGCTCTGCAAAGTTGAACAGGTAAACATCATCGTGTAAAAATCATGCCGATCCGATTAAAATAAACGAGTACGTGTACTCGTCGTTCCCGTGTAGGACTTGGCGATGGGTACGGATGCCGAGGGCGAGCGAATCAAGGACCACATGCGCAACATCACGCCGATCTTGCTCGACCAGAACGTCAACAACAACGACAAGTTGCGCATAATCGCCCTCTACGTGCTCAGCAAGAACGGCATCACCGATGACAACGTCAACCGGCTCATTAACCACGCTCAGATGTCGCCCGAGGACAAACAGACTGTCGTCAACATGGCCAACCTCGGGGTCAACGTCGTTGTCGACGTAAGATTTTTTTTTTTCACCGTTTCAATCGCATAGCAGTTCGTACAACTCGTGGAATTTTGCAGGGCAATCGTAAGAAGGTCTACACCATACCGAGGAAGGAGCGGATAACCGAGCAGACCTACCAGATGAGTCGCTGGACGCCTGTCGTCAAGGATATCATGGAGGACGCGATCGACGACAAGCTCGACGCCAAGCACTTCCCGTTCTTGGGTGGACGGACCGCGAGTTCCGGCTATCACGCACCGACGAGGTATTCAAGCTTCTCGATCGATGTACATAAAAAAAAAAAAAAAAATTGTGTAATAATCATGGTGGGTTTGTTTGTTCTGCTTGCAGCGCACGCTATGGTCATTGGCACAAAGAAAAAGGTCAGCAGACGATTAAGAACGTGCCGCGTCTGATAGTATTCATCGTTGGTGGCTGCTGTTTCTCGGAAGTCCGATGCGCCTACGAAGTCACGAATAACGCTAAGAACTGGGAGGTCATTATTGGTAAGGAAAATTTCGTTTACTTTCGTCAAAGACTGACGTTGTCGTGAACTCAATCAGATCGATTGGTCAATGGTTCTTTGGTGTGCTTACAGGTTCTTCACACCTAATTACGCCAAAATCGTTCCTCGAGGACATGTCGAAGCTTCACATGAATTTCTCATAAGCTTTTGAACTGTTTTCATAAAAAAAAAAAAAACATATTAGACGATTACTTTGTAAAATCGTGAAAACCTTTGTTTAGGAAATCATAGACCGGCCAAAGGTAAATTTTTTGTCGAACTCGAACGAACAAATAGAAAACAGAATTCACTTCGCTCTACAATCCTAGCCTCGACTGTTGGCTTCTATTTTTTAACAAGTGGTTCGGCAAAAATTTTTATACCCCCACTAAGATTCATCGCAGTCTATATTATGTTATTACTTTCCAAAGAAAAAATTTATGAAACATTCCCCTTATTTTAATATTAATAAGCTTATTTGCATAAATGTTGAGCCATGAATCCTGTCATTTGAAGAAAAAAAAAAAAAAAAAAAAAAAAATCATCGCTATGATGCATCGGTGACAACTATCAGCCAAAATATTTAAAAAATGAATGAAAAAAAAAAAAAATGAATTTTAGTCGATATACACTAGGTAGCGTAACTATGCACTTCAGTCAATTTACGTATTAGCAATTGATAAACGTTTTTGCTATTCACGGGGAGAGAACAATAATGAGAAAAAGTAGGTGAAAATAAAATTAAAGTCGAAAAACAAATCCCATATTCAGCGGCTTAATTGATGTAGTACGAGTAATCGCGTAATCGAAAAGAACTGATGAGAGGATTAGCCGGTAAAAAAAAGTGCCTGTGCGATAAGGATCTTGAGGCAAAAATCTGAAGATCCTGCGACACGTTGGCAATATCATTGAAGGACCCAAGGAATCCAGGTTTAGATATTCTCTGGGCCTGGGAAAAAAATTTAAAACAAATTATTCATACCTAACCATAATATATTCTCTATCTTCGTGATTGTAGTACCTTAATTAAGAGTTTAAGAATTTTTCGATCTTGTACCCCTTTTAAGATAAATCTCATGTGGCTACGTGTAACTCTGAAACGATCATATCTATTGCACAATTTTACGAGAGAAAGAAAAATTCAACTCGTATTATACATACATATAGTTGACTAAACAAATTTTTTTCCCAGGATTTTGATATTATTAAGAAAAGATTGAACTGCAGATTGTATCAGTGGTTGAATTTTGTTCACAAGGAACGCTTGAATTTATTGTTTTAGAGTTTATCTATAAACGTAAGTTTTATTGAATTAATATATAAATGTTTGCGTCATTCTAAAGAAAATAGAGAACAATGCATTCAAATAATTTAAAACAAATTTAAATTTATACATTGTATATTTAAATATGAATTTAAACTCTGTTGTTGTTAAAAAAATTTTAAATAAAATTAAATGTATTATCAAGTTTGGTTAAATTTCAAGTGAGCAAACGCAAGCAATGTTTATCGATACCGTGAAACTCGATGGCGCGGTAATATATCAACTTTAAAAAATAAAGTAATAAAAGCAAACAAGTGAGAAAAAAAATGTATTGTTAAGTAATTCTTAGTAGCATAGAACAGAACTGTGGTCACAATAAAGATGTAAATTATTTATTATACCTGCATTAACTGCACCTAAAAACTCTGCAAAAAACTTTCTTCTTAGCTTCTGATAACAAAGTTTTTACGGAGTTAATAAAGTTGCATCCTACAGTAGCTTATGCGATTAAGTTTTACGTGAAATGTGCGCCTGTACATTGCCTTTTATTATCCTTAATCTTAAGCCTCACTGTTTTTTCTAGTTCAAAAATTTCGTCCTTTTGCTTAGTCGTTATCATTAACTTCAAAGTTGAAAATTCTAATGGTAACGGAATAGTATTAAATTACTTGTAAACATTAAGGAACTCTCATTCATGCATTTTTAAAAAGACTTTTTCTGTAATTTTTAATTGAAAAAANATTATTTATCATATTGAAAGATCAACAATTAACTTCATAACGGAACATTTGCGAAAAATTCCTTATTTAAATGAATGTTTATATAATTATGTATGAATTTTATAGAAAGACAAATTAGTTTTGTTTTTTTTTAATAATCATAAAAAATTTTCTGAGTTTGACAGTAGAATTTGTGCAGTTAAGCTGCTTCGAAAAAAATTCTTTTTAAACATACGGAAGATGGTGATATAAAATACTTTTCCTTTTTTTTGTCCGTGAAAAAACGTTTGATTGAATGAAATTTGAAGAGGAATACAAAGATAAAACAACAAAAATTAAGTACGTTAAATTGAATGAACGTTGCGGTTGTACGGCAACGGAATCTACATTATACAGTTTACGATCAAAAAGTATACATACGTATATATGAATGTATATGTACGCATATATAGCCCAGAAGTGTTCTGCTTATAAAAAGTGAATGATAAATATGATATACTTCGCCGTAAAGTCTTGTCTCATCGTAAACACGAAGTTTCCGTGGTGTACGTCTTTATTTCATGAGTAAACGAAAAGGGTAAAAAAAGTATTGTTATAGAATCTTTTTGCCTTTGTTAATGTTACTAACTAGCAAAGATATTGTTTTTCTTTGTTGTAAGTATTAATAATGAGAACTAGTAATTACGTTTATAACCACACTATTTTAATTAATCGTAAGAAAAATTAAATTGTTTATTATGTACGTACAAGGATTTGTAATTTACGTTAAAAATTATGTATTTGTATATCATGGACGTGACATGGATGAATCTTTTTATTTTCTTCGTAATGAATATTTTATTGTACATTGTACCATTAAAGATAAATGATTAGCAAAAAATTCATTTTTGTTTCTCATTTCTACATTTAATAATTTCAAATGTACGCTTGGTATACATTACATTTTTTTAACAAAAACTCGTAAAACTTTAATTTTGAAATCGATATGTGTTTCTAATTATAATTTTTGATTAGAACAATTTTTTCGTAAATACTTATACTAGTCAAACATTCCTACCAGTTTTTATTTTTACATCAAAATCTCCCGGAAATTTAACATTATTTACTTGAACTAAAAGAAATAAAGTACTCAGTATAATGAAATTCCATCAAATTTTTTATTAAACACTGTTTTTACAATTACAATTATTTTAACTCGATTCAAAAAATGATCATGTAATGTAATATTAAAGTCTGGAAAAAGGATGCAGTGAGCAAAAATAATTGTTAAAAAATATAAATTAAATTCAAAAAATCTTTAAAAAAATGTATATTATCTCGAATAGGTGACTCACATTTTTTTGATTTTTCGTTGTTGTTGTTATTGTTGTTACTATTAACATTGAATTTAATCATAATAATCAATATAAGGATCCCGTGTATTTGGGAATGAACAGCAGCACGAATTGTCATTCATGACTTGTTTATGCTGATTAAACAATTCAATATTGACACATTATTCAAGATATATTTTTTTATAGAGAAAAAAATAAATGTTGTCATAGGTTATTCTTAATTGTACAGAGAATGATTATTGTTTGGAATGTAGTGTTTCAACAATTCAAACGAGAACCCTCTTTTATGCTTGTACGGAACGAAAATTTAAATTCAATGATAATAAATCATGTGTCTAAATCTGAAAATGAGCAAATTAGTATGTGTGATCATACAAATATCATTATATAAAAAAAACACGTTTAATTTCGCAAGTCGTATCACCGACGTGATCCAATAACAACCCAACAACATTAGCCCTCGAGAGTAGGACGGAAATCTCTACTCCGCGCGCGACTCTTTTTCGTGAAGGCGCGTGTGCACCTTGAGGTTACCACTGTGCCTGAATGCCTTGAGACAGACAAGGCACCGGTGGGGCACAAGGCCCGCGTGGATGCGCTCGTGCACCTTAAGATTGCCCTTCTGGTTGAAGGTTTTGGAGCACTTGGAGCACCGGTACGGCTTCTCCCCCGTATGAATGCGCTCGTGTCTCAGGCAATTGGCCTTGTCGCTGAAGGCCTTGAAGCAACTCGAGCACCGGTACGGCTTGACTCCCGTGTGCTTGCGACTGTGGGCCTGCATGATGGACAATCGGTTGAAAGTTTTTATGCATACGGGACAATGGTAGGGCCTATCGCCCGTATGGATGAGGTTGTGGGTGACCAGGTGACGCTTTTGGCTGAAGGCTTTGGGGCAACTGGGGCATTTGAATGGCCTTTCTCCCGTATGAACCCTCTCGTGCAAGTCAAGCTGATTTTTTTGGCCGAATTTTTTCGAGCAGATCGGACAAACGTAGGATTTCTTGGTCTTGCGGTTGCCGTTTGGGGCGGCACAGGATGATGTTGATGGGACCTCCGGAGGAGGGTTTGCGTCACTGTTGACAAAGAAAGATGGCTAATTACGCTCGTTTCATTTTTGTGTGTTCGATTATTGGCTGGGGGAAAAAAAAAAAAAAATTATTTTCTATCTTCATCAACGTATTGAGACATAAAAAGTTTTTTTTTTTTTTTTTCCAGCGTAGTTTGATTGCTGCTGGTCGCATCCGGAGTTTTTTAAAATTCTTTTTATTTTGATGGGCCGATCCCTAAAATTGATATCTGCTCCAACTCGCCAATGTTTATCGATGCTCTTGTCAACGACAAAAGTTTACATCAAACATCTAATTTGTAAAAGTGCAAGATCACGGTTCTATTTTATTTTTATGATTATGCTAGCGGGTAGATGCCACGTTGCACGGTTAGCACAGCATAGTGCATTACTCATAATATCAAGGAGTTTTTTTTCATGTCCCGACTGAAATCACTACTTTTCCCTAACTTTAGGAATAAAAGTACCACATTATCTTTTAGGTGAAAATTGCATTTACTGCTCATAAGAAACTATTGACTGTCCACCACGTGCAGGTTAGCAATTTTCTCGCGAAATTCATTAAAGTACTTTCCTGATAAATAGTAAATGAAATTTTTACGTGGACATTTTTATTAGGCTATAAATTTTGAACTCAAAGAAAAAAACGCCATAACAAATATATATTTCTTTTTTCAAGTTGTTTCATTAACTTAAAATGTTCTTGAAACATTTTGTGCTACTCTTTTGTACTTTATTAACGTCGTCAACGATTGAAAAGTTTTTTGTTTAATAAAACGTTTTTTCATACCAAAAAACAAATGCTTTTTCATTCCAATCTTTGACAAGTTTTATTGGAATCGTATAGTCAAATAATTGAAACTTGCTTATTATGAAATTATCTTCTTTTCATACATGAGTATTAATTTATAGTAAAATGTATTTAAATTTAAAATATAAACTTACCTTGTTCTTGAACTCATTCCTGACAAAAATGTGTGCAAACTGTCGTAGAATATAAAATTGGGTGTTGAAATCCAACTATTGTAATATGATTGTGCAATTTTATTATTGAATTCATTGTGTATTAAACAATTTATTGGACGTCAGTGTCTTTTTTAATCGAATTGATGAAAAACAATTAATTTTTACTACTAAAACTTAGACAAAAAATATTACCCAAATTTTCTGCCCGCTACTAAAAAAAAACTGCGATTTCCGAGGTTGAACTTACCAAAAGCCAATGCTTTTACAGTTGAAATTACTTTTCGAAGCGCACACAAACATTTCCTGTCGTTAACAACTTGAGATACTCTTAATAGTAATATAATGGATATAAACTTGAGGCGCATTCCAATCGTTTAAAATGTGAAGAAATTTGGTTTTTATTTAATAGTAACAGAGGAGTAGGAGGGGAAAGAGAATGAGAGGAATAGGAGAGGAAAGAGAATGAGAGGAGTAGGAGGGGAAAGGGAAACAGAGGAGTAGGAGGGAACAGAATGAGAGGAGTAGGAGGGGAAAAAAGAGAGATATATCTACGACTCGTGAGGACTGAGGAGAGACCAGGGGTCTGATCGGGGCATTCGATCTAATCTTTAGATTACTATATTTAATAAAATTATTAACTTAAAATTGTAATATCATCAAAGTGAATTCATAAACATGATCATCGATGAAAAAAAGCTTAAATTATTCGCTTTTGAAAATAAATATGAATGAATGTTATAAATGATTTATCATTGTATACTGTGTATGTTATCTATAGTAATTAATCGTTCAAAATATTCGAAATAAATTAATATATATTTAAATGAAAGATACAAAGCTACGAGACATGAGGCGCAATTTATTATCATTAAGGTTAAAAAGCGGCGAAATTCTCTCTAGTAGGAAATATATGTTTAAGATTTTTCTAAGTAACGTAGAAACCATAAAAATTATACATAATAGTTGTAGTGGTAATAAATTAAAATGAGGTATGTGAAATCTGAATTGTGACTAACTTATTGGTACTACTTTAGTCATGTGGCAACGGTATGGTATTATTACCTTAATGAGTCGTAAGAAAAGTCATTAAGGTAAAAGTACAATTGCATTACAATGAAATAAAAAGTTTATTCAAATGAGTGTTTCATTGGGACATAACGTACTACTATTGGGACATGCATTCCCAATGGTGTTTCACTTTAGGTACAACACGACATCGTAAGTTTTTATTAAATTACAATTACTTCTTGTTAAGATAAAATTCATCAAAAAATGTATTTAATAAGTAGGCAGCAAAATATATCAACAAGAGTTTGAATGTTATCTTCTATATGTAATTTTGTATGAATTTTGAAACAAAATTTCACCAAAAAATCGTTCCAGCATTGGTACTTTTACCTTAGTTATCATTATTAAGCAAAAAAATTTGTTTAAAGCAGTGGTTTTAGATACGTTCTCAAATCTTATAAAAATTGTTCCAAAATACTCATTTTCCACATACTATAACAACAAAATGATTAATTAACCATGATTTTACCTTTAAGCTGTATGTTATTTTTTTAAACTCATTGAAAATAATTAATCATAAAAAATATTTAAAATATTTTTTTTAATTAGTGTTGTGATCCATTAAGTCTTAAAATCATTTCCTGTACGTTTAAATATTGGACTGTGAATAATTAGATTGAAATTGTAAAATTATCCGATTGATGTATTTAAATGTATTTTTAAGTCAAACTTGTAACCGAATCCGTTCGACTACTTATACAACGTTACGAGGGCAACCTACAGTAGGTAGTTACATAAGTTATATTACCTTATTCAGAACGTTTTTTTTTATTTTTCTTCAAATATATAAAAATCTACAGCTAATAATTAGCTAATAATTAGCCTTAAATAATATTTGAATGCAAAAATTTTAAAATATTGTAGTTGGGCATCCTTAAAAAATCTAAATAAAATTTTCTTAATCAAGTTTCAATTATCAATTTAAATCGTAATTTTAATTTGAAAGTGTGAACAACGAAACTTAAATAACCAAGAATTTAAAAATTTAGAATTTGTTCAACTTCATAAATTTTAATACAAATTGAACAAATAACTACATTTTTCTACCTCGGGTATTTTTGTGGGTCGGGTGTACCCTCGGTAGAAAATATAGGATTCCCCACATAAGTGCCATCGCTCCGCGGCTACCTTACGTCCCTCGGGCCGCAAAATAGCCCCAGAGACGATGGCACTTATCCGACGAAAACTACCATTCTTTAACTTGCATTAAAAAAAAAGATTTATTGATTGTTATAGGGAAATAAGACACAGTTGTTGATGTTTACTTTCAAGTTATTATTTGATAATAATAATAATCCACCTTAAAGATAATAAGTATATTTGTGGAGATTATATTCAAGTTGACGGTAATTTTTAATATTCATTTATCATAATTATTTCAATAATAGTATACACAAAGTTCCACATCGTACACTTTGACTTTTACATTCTTAAATTTACTTCTTTATTTTAGAAATAAGAAACACGAATAATCGTCGTGATACTTACATTTATAACTTATATACTGAAACGATTACTATGAGCGAAGTACATAAAAATGGTGGTTAGAGCAATGTAGAAAATAACTACTTATGGTTTTTTGCTATATATGCATCTTTTCTCGCCTTACAAGTGTCTGTACTGAGGTTTAGTGATATTGCTATTTAGTATCTATTTACATAAACATCCAGTCAGTAATGTACAATTAGTGATATTGCTATTTAGTATCTATTTACACAAACATCCAGTCAGTAATGTACAACAGTATAAAATTTTTGCAAGTTCACACGTAACAATTTGTCTTATCTCTGTTTTAATATACTATAATTTATTACTATTTAAGTAGTTTGTGTTATTAATGTTTATACATCATACGAATGCATAATATATGTGTTGCCGATTTGTGGCGATTATATCTAAATTATTAATTTTATTTTAACAAGTGTCCTTCGTCAATCGTATCGCACCGGAATTTTGTGTGTGTGTGCGCGCGCGTGCGTGTGTGTGTGGTACAGTTAAGGAGAGACGAGTCGTATACATGCGGGGATAGGTTGCCTGAGAGGAATAGGAGAGGAAAGAGAATGAGAGGAGTAGGAGGGGAAAGGGAAACAGAGGAGTAGGAGGGGAAAGAGAATGAGAGGAATAGGAGAGGAAAGAGAATGAGAGGAGTAGGAGGGGAAAGGGAAACAGAGGAGTAGGAGGGAACAGAATGAGAGGAGTAGGAGGGGAAAAAGAGAGATATATCTACGACTCGTGAGGACTGAGGAGAGACCAGGGGTCTGATCGGGGCATTCGATATCTCGCTTAAGTAAGCAGTTTTTTCGATAATCCCTATAAAATAACCAAAAATAGCGATAGTGGGCATTCGTAGTTTAGGGGTTATCGAAAAAATTGCTCACTTAAGCGTGATATCGAATGCCCCGGTCAGACCCCAAGCGGCTTTCGATACCTAGCAAAAGTCAGTATTTTTTTCGATAATTCTTATACTGCGCATGCGCACAACCATAATTTTATGTAAATTATCGAAAAAAATACTGACTTTTGCGAGATATCGAAGGTCGTGATAGAGCCCCAGAGACGATTAACTGTACATAAACACACGCGCGCGTACACACACACAAAATTAAACCCGGCACGATACGATTAACAAAAGACACTTGTAAAAATAAAATTAATAATTTAGGTAATCGCTACAAATCGGCAACACATACATTATGTATTCATATGATGTATAAACATCAATAATACAAACTACATAAATAGTAATTGATCAGAGATAGAGATTTCGGAGAGAGTGGGCCGCGACTATCGCGAGCAGCGAAGGAAAGGACGATTCATTTCAACAAAGCCTTTGTGAGGGAAGGATGTATAAGCCGTGTGCGCCATCGAGATGTCCAGCAGCTCATGGCTTGAAAGCAGACTTGAGCCAAGCAGGGTTGAAGAATGTACCGGGTGAAAGTACACAATGATGAATATTTTTTATTTTTGGACTTGCTTTTCTGGATGGAAAAAAATAAAAAAATGTCAAAAAATTAAAAATAATATGCAATGAATGGTAGGATGGCCATTTTTTAATAATTATTTGAATAAAATAAACCATTCTTTAATTTTTTTAAGCCTCGTTTCATAGAGATTTATCTTAAAGGAAATTAAAGAAATTAAGAGTAAGTTTAGTAAACACAAGTACTTACTCTATTATATTTTAAACATAAAAGTCAGAGTAAATTAGTCTGACTTTCCTCATATAGAAAATAAAGAAATCAAAGATGAATCCACACGGAGAAATTCAGTCACAGCTAAAGACGGTGCAGTGCTGCTGGTGAAAACAGCGTGCGTGGTGGGAGCGCAAAATAATGTGCGCAAACAGCAAAAAAAACGGTGCAAACGCGCACGTGATTTTAAGTTACAGATGCACGCTCTTTTCCCGTGCAAGCCACTGAAACTTAGACTGAGCGGCTCCGGTGTAGTTCGACACTTATTTATTAATGCTTTTTTATTATAAATGCAAATTTATCTATGCAACTAATACGCATACATGCATGTAAGTTACATAGTTAGGCATTAATAAAAAAGTGTCGAACTATACCGGAGCCACTCAGTCGAAATTCCAGTGGCTTGCACGGGAAAAGAGCGTGCATCTGCAGCTCGAAATCATGTGCGCGCTCGTACCGTTTTTTTTGCCGTCTGCGCACGTTGTTTTGCGCTCCCATCACGCACCAACGGAAAGACCTTTTTCATTGAAAATCCCCTACTATATTCAGTTATGAGTTTTTCATAGCTTGGTACGGGTTTTTCCCGTACCACGTCTGTCTAAAACCTACGCTCAAGTATGTTATGTAAAACGTAAACACCTACTGGATACATCTATTTTTCATAGCTACAGTTGGTAAGGGGAAAAACCGTACCACCGTCAGTAAATACTTGTACTGATATCTTAAAACCTATATACTTGGCACGAAATTTAAGACCACTTAAGGTGACACTAAAAATTCTTGTGTTAGTAAGCAACAAATATAATGTTGGTGTAGTACTTCTTACGATCAAATATTGTAGTAGGGGATTTTCAATGATCTCGGTCTTTCCGTGGCAGTGCTGCTGGCGAAAACACACGGAAAGACCGAGATCATTGAAAATCCCCTACTACAATATTTGATCGTAAGAAGTACTACACCAACGTTATATTTGTTGCTTACTAACACAAGAATTTTTAGTGTCACCTTAAGTGGTCTTAAATTTCGTGCCAAGTATATAGGTTTTAAGATATCAGTACAAGTATTTACTGACGGTGGTACGGTTTTTCCCCTTACCAACTGTAGCTATGAAAAATAGATGCATCCAGTAGGTGTTTACGACGTACTATGGTGCGCAGAGCAGTTTTTTTTTCTTGTGGTATGCATTTTCAATATACCTGTAGGTACATTAAAAATTATCCATATTCATTGTAATATTATTTTTATCATAATAAATGTATGTACCAGCGTTAAAAAAATAAGTGACAGTTAATTAGGATACTGGTGCAGTGATGAATTGTTAATGTTGTTACTATAAATATCAAAAGTAACCTCAAAGTGGATCATGGATGACTTTGTTAAAAATATTTTAGGGAGTTGGAAATTACAATGTCTCACTAATATTTTTTCATGAAAGTAAAATTATTCAATTACTTATTTATTTACATGAGATAATACCGTACTTAGTGTTCATATAAACTTAAACCTAACGCAGTAGAAGGAGATTTTACATAACATACTTGAGCGTAGGTTTTAGACAGACGTGGTACGGGAAAAAACCTTACCAAGCTATGAAAAACTCATAACTAAGTATAGTAGAGGATTTTCAATGAACTCGGTCTTTTCGTGTAGGTTTTAGACGGACCTGGTACGGGAAAAAACCTTACCAAGCTATTAAAAACTCGTAACTGAATGTAGTAGGGGATTTTCAATGAAAAAGGTATTTCCGTGATGCACCACCTTTAGCTGCGACCGAATTTCTCCGTGTGCACGTAAAATTAATTTTTTACTTAACAACATCAAAGTAGCTTCATTGTTTCAGTTCTTTGACTTAAATTTTATCAAAATTAATATTAATAATTTAGAAATTTAATTATAGTTAACCACGTTAAAAAATGTTTAACTAAAAATACATAAATGTACATAAAATATAATAATAAATTAATGTGCTTGGTGGAAATGATGTGCGTCTATGATAGTGTTCACATAAAAAATTACATCTTTCCTCGCATATAGTCAACAGCTGATCAATCTTGCTATTTCGTACAAAGTATTTTTGTAGAAAACTCGTTAGCTCTTAACAATTAAGCTGAAACTTTACATGTAGTTAGTTGTTGCTAAGTCAAAAAATAAGAAAATAATGATAATCATTGAATTTGAAAGAGAGTATCATGCTCTTTTACGGTCAAGCTTTTATCAGATGACGCCAGAGCACGTCGCGGCTGTTAGGGTGAGATTACTTGGAGTCTGGCAGTCTGCAGACTGGCAGAATCGCGCTAAGTTTAAATTATGTTTAAATTATAACATCTCAGAATAATTTAGTAAAATAAAGGAAAAATTGTAATTATTGTCAGAAAAGAATAAAGGCTTAGTTACAATCAACTTCAATTACAATAAAACGTGTAAAATATTATTTTATAACTTTTTTTATAGATTTATGTTAACATCGCACAGTCGGTCAGTAGGGTCACTGATGTAACCTGGTATGTTTAACAATATGTAACTGTGACAAAACGTTTTTCGTCGCCTTTTTTTTTATAAATATTAGTTATTACAGAAATGCAAATGTATTACGATAATTATTTCTTTGCTTACGTAACAGGTTTTAAATATTAATATTGAAACATATTTTAAACTTAGCGCGATTCTGCCAGTCTGCAGACTGCCAGACTCCATGTAATCTCACCCTTAGGGAGCCTGTACATGGGTGTCAGAATGTCTTAAGACTGTAAGCCAAACCTGTGGCGGGTGTGTAATCACGTTACATAGTTTTATCACGAATAAAGTGTCTATTTCCTTGTTTAAAACAATTTATATCAATATTCAGTTAACGTCAGTTCGAATTGAATCACCCGCCACAGGTTTGGCTTACAGTCTTAAGACTGTAAGACGCCCATGTACAGGCACCCTTATGGCCGTCGCACTTACACACCGTCAAATTTACAGTTGTGTATTGTGTCCGTGAGCCTATCTGTGTGATGAACAAGAGCCTCATTATGGACTCAAGTTGTCGCTGCGACTAATTGAGCACACTCGTGTCCAAAGAACCAAGTCGGGCAGGATCCTTGGACTTGCGAAAACGGCTCGTTCATCGTGCCGGTTAATTAAGTTGACAAAAGCACTACGCGAGCAATGAGTACTACTGCTCTGACGTCATTTTTATGGCGTCAAATTTATTTAGATTACAAAGAGGTGAAAGAAAAGATACGTCTTTGTACGTAACACTCTGTCACATTATAAATTTACCAAGTATTTTTTTAGAAAACTCGTTAACTCTTTTAAATTAAGCTGAAGCTTTACTTGTGAAGTTTTGAAAGATAAAGTTTCAAGTAAAATCTAATAAATACAGTTGATCAATGCAACATTACAATGATTCCTCAAAGGCAGCCATCATGTCACTCTGCATATTCATGTCGATTTGTCCAGCCATCTGAAAGAGAAATAAAAAAAAACCACGATTTTATGGTGAATGCCGCTTCGAAAAAGAGAAGAAAATAATAAAAAAAAACAAAACAAAAAAAAACCATGCTCTGAAGGGAGTTTTGGTACATTGGTTTGACTCATATGGGCGATCGTAAGTGCCGAAACAACTGCCGAGCAGTGCAATGCGGTTACCGGTCTGGAGTAACGGCACGATCTACCTAAGGGCATTGTGGTAATTGGATGGAGAAGAGATTTGTTGCTCTTGATTTTACGTAATACCATTGACGCTTATGTATGCTTTACACAAAAAATATTGACACGTATCTGTGATCAAAAATTTGTTCGACATGATGTGTATATTTTTCATGTTTCTCAATGACATTTTTCTTATCAAAACTTTGGACACCACAACATTCTCCGTTCGATACCATGTCAAACTAATTTTCAAATCAAATTCCTATCATATACATTTGTATATCAAGTTAAATGAAAATAATGGAAAAAGACTGTGCAAAAAGTAAGCGGTCCTTGAAAAGAGAAAAAAAAAAAACTTGGAAAAATAATAAGCTCTTAACAATGAAAATTTCACGTAACTTGGTTTAAAGAGATGTTTTTAAGTCGCTTGTATCAAAAGCTATAGGGATAAAAAACATCTGAAACCAGCACAAAAGGATAAAAGAAGAAAAAGGAAAAGTGAGGGGATGATGGTAGACGGTGTAATTGTTGAGTGACTCACCGCTTCACGTCGCCGTCGTTCCTGCTCCCTCAACCTATGGCGTTCACGTTCGCGTTCAGACTTTCCCTGACTAGCCGAATGGCTGGGACTATTGCTATCGGTCTCCTCTTTGTTGACCGGGTCACGTCGTGGCGTCGATATCGACGAGGCCGGCGACGCGCTTAACGGAGAAGTAGTCTTGCGCGCCCTTTCCAGAGCAGCCTCCCCTTCTTCCTTCTGACGGCGCTCCTTTTCTTGGCGTAATCGCTCGCGTTCCGCCTGCTCCTTTTGCTGACGTTCAATCAGCGCTCGTTGCTACAAGAATTCAATCAACATTCAAGCACGAATACTTTGCTAAAACGACAAGCAAAACGTGTTTCAGATGATTTTACCCTGTCCTGTTTTTCCTTGGCTTGCTTTTTGAACTGCTGGAAAGCCTCGCTCGTGTTTTTCGTACTCGTTGCCGCTACCGTATGCGGACTTGAGGCTCGAGCTAACGAAGACCAGGACGAGTGATTGAGCTTTGGCTGCTGATCAGTGATCTAAAACATCAATGATCGCGTTAACCGAGAGTATCTAGTTTTATTGTAAAAATTAATGCTTTTTTTTTTTTAAACATTCGTACCTTATTATTTTTAAATGCCGAAGCGAAGTTTGAGGTAGCATTTTTCGATTCAGCCTGGGCGTTATGCTGTTTATCTGGTAATAATTGCGAGGTGGCGTGGTTGCTTATCGGTGGTATCCCTAGAGCAGTCATTTCTTCAAAAAATGTCCCGGCTAAAGTGACGAGGTGACAAATCAGTGATTGTGTTAGTAATGCAAAATGATTGTTAGTCACATAATTTTATACACAAGTGCTGGGTGCCAGTGATTACGATACACGCATGCATAAAAACAACGGATAATCAGTAAATTAGCCACACGGGCATGCAATGGTCGAATGAAAAATGCGCCCAACGTTTGGAAATAAAATTTCACGAAACGACGCATGAATGTTATGTATTTCGGGAGAATGAAATTTTTCAACACACAATGCTCCTACGCATTAAAAATTATCTGTGGCTATTAATTAAATGTAGGTACCGCCAAGTACCACTAAATTCAAGTACGTACATAGGCCAAAGCTCATTTAAGCAAAGCAAAGCTAAAATTGAGGAATAGAAAGAGAGAGAGAGAGAGAGAGAGAAGTAAAATAATAAAACGAACAAAAGAGAGAAAGAGAGAAAATCGTCTCGGAGAGGATCAACGACGACGACAGCAACGACGACAAGGACCTACCATCGATCTTCTGATGCATCTGCTGTTGCTGTTGGCTCATAGCCGCAGCCGCCGCGGCCTTGTCGCTCTTTTTCTGCTGCATCTGCAGCTGCTGCTGAATCTGCATGGGCATGACTTTCGAGTGCGGATCAAAGATCGAGCCGATGCCCATGTTAAGGTTCATATTGAGGCCGGGCATGCTGCCGTTGTTGTTGTTGAGCATGCCACCACCACTACCACCACCACCGGGTGGTGAGCTGTCCTGTCTCTTCATGCCCGAGAAGCCGTTCGAGTGTTGCTGCTGATGGTGAATCGAAGCTGCCATCGAGGTCGGTGTCACGTGGCTGTTTTGAAGGCCGAGCGGCGAGGTGACGCCCATCAGGCACTCGAGCTGCATTTGGTTTTGCATCATGTGCGAGATGCTCTGGTGGCCCAAATTCATGGCCGCGTTGATGTTAAGGTTACCGAGGTTCAAGTTCGAACCAAGGCTGGACATCATGCTCTTCATGTCGCTGGACAGTAAACTCGACATGCTGGCGTTGGTGTTGTTGGCTGGCTGGTGGGCCATCGATTGGAGCATCGACAGGTGAGATTGCTGTTGCTGCTGCTGCTGCTGCTGCTGTTGGTGCTGCTGATGATCCTTCTTCGAGGCGACCATTGATAGATTCGAGGCAAGGGACTGATCGAGTGATGGGTGTGGCGTCGTTGTTGGTACCGATGCTGTTTGTTTAGTTTTTTTTGCGTTGCGAAACGAGGAAAGGTGCGACAAGTTAGATGTTTGTGGGATCGGTGAATTTTTTTATTTTTTTTTTTTTTGTATATTTATAAGTGTGTCATGTTAGCAGATGTGAGCGAAAACGTTTCTTCCATTGGGATAAGGTGTTGTTTTTTTTTTGTTTTTTTTTTCAACTCCGAGCATCGAACAGTGCAACAATTGTAATGAAAGTGAGTGTGGTGATAGTTTTTTTGTGCAACAACATTGGGCTCACAGTTTGATCGGTTCAGGAAATTGGTGAGACGCTTCAGTAAGTACTACTTCTAGCTTGCATTAAGTGAATGTAAAAATGATATCTTTGTATTAAACTGAAAGCTGATGCGTTTCGAAATTTGGCTATTGGCTGTTTGTTCTCGTTTTATGTGAAAATTTTGACATTTTGTCGCAAATATATATCTTGTAATTCAAGCCAAGACATTGTTACAAGATGTTGTATAAAAGTTATTGAGTTTCGATCTCTTTGCAGGTGAGTTTAATTTATATACGGCGAAGTTCAACGATACTTTTTCGCCCGCGTCTGCTAATAACACAAATAATTGCAGCATCAAAAAAATGAGCCAAAAACAGTGCGTGTGGCTCAGTTATCGCTAATCTGCGCTTTTTGTATTGGTAAATGAAGCAAACGAAACATACGTTTTTTTTTCTCGATTTTTACTTACGTTATTAAATAAATATTGTAATTTTCAAATATTAAACAAAATAAAGCAACAACTTGAAAAAATTTTAGAATCAACAAAAGTTATGATGAGGCAATTCATAATTCAAAGAAAAAAAAAATTATAATCATCTTTTACATTGCGAAAATTTCTTGAACAAATTCATCTGATAATGAACGTATCACATGCATGAAGGCAAATTAATTAAATTTTGTCTAAATCTATAAAAAAAACTATCAAACATGCAATAGTGTAATAATAACCAACTAAGATACACGAAAAATTTAAGTTATATAACAATAGCTCGATGAATGTACAAAATTTTTTTTTGTTTATTTTAATAAACTAATCATAAGTAATGCTGATGAAAAATTAAAACAAAAGAAGCATAAAGTAAACGAAAAAGCATAATAGCACTACAGCATTAGAAAAAGTTTTGATTATTTATAAAAAAAAAAAAAAAAAGGTTCCCAATGAATATTGATAATTTTGTTTTTCTGTATAAAACTTTTTCATAAAATGCGTTACCTGTCGTCCATATTTATTCATTCTTCGGCAAAATGTCTAAAAAGCGCAGATTTAACGATAACTGAAGATCATTGTTCAAGAATCGAAAACGACCAGTTCTCTAATGTTCAACGATAAATGTAGACGCACGCGACTTACCGATCGCCATTGAAATCATCGTACCGTAATTTATTTTTTGTATACACATCAACAACAATATCAACAAAAACTGAAATCATACAAAACGATTGGCCGATCGACGAGCGTCTACATGCATTGTTCAAGAAAAGTAACCGATCGAAGCGAGTTGCGCGAGCTCGGATTGCTACGCGCGACGACTCGATCGCAGAATATCAAAATCCAATAATCGAAGCAATACCTAGAGGATTGAAAGACTGGAGCAAATCCGATTGCTGCTGCTGACCAACAATACTGCTGGTAGAATCGTGCTGTTGCTGCGGCTGCTGCTGTTGTTGGTGTTGACTACCAAGGGAGGTCGCGACACCGGCAAAGGAGCTAATCGGCGCCGGAGCGACCGTCTGCGCCACGATAGGCGACGTCACGGGAGGTGGCTGTTGTTGCTGCTGAGCAACGCTAACTGCCACCGGAGGCGTTAGCCTGGCCGGGGTTGCTGTCGTCGTGGCATTGGCCAAGCTTTGGCTCGATGGGATCGACGACGGCAGCGTTTGTTGCTGCGAAGTACTCGTCTGCAACGCCGTTGGCGGTACAATTGGAGTCTTTTTAACGGGGGCAGCTGTGGCTAGGGACGAGGGCCGCGACGGTTGGGCCGGCATCGAGACGTGAGCCAGTGGCGTCGCCATCACTGCTGGAGTTACGGCGGCCGGTGTTGCAGAGCTCGCGCTCAGTGGCGCTACGACTGCTGGCTGTTGTTGCTGCTGACTGCTATTACTGCTGTTGCCGGTCATCTTGCCGTGAGACTCGGATGTGTTCAGATCTGCGTTTCGTCGGAATTTCCAGCGTGAATATTGTGTTTTTGTGTGAAAAAAAAAGGGGGGGGAGGGATAACTCGAAGCCAGAAAAAATTGGTAGAGAGTAGCTTTTTCGTCGTTGAGGTTCACGAGAATCGAGTGTACAGCCATTATTCACGTAATAAATCACAACTACATTTTAATTATGATTTCCTATAATAGATCTAAACATCTTACTACTACATCTTCGTCATTTGTTTTTTGTAGTGCGGTTATTTCAAACTCAAGTGAAAATTATACTTTTTTTTATTTCAAAATTATGATTTGTCCAAATAAAAACTATTACTTTGACACCAGTGAAACACAATCGTTATAGAACGGTGAGGGAATTTTTTACTATGAAAAATATCTGCAGGTCATGAAGCCATGAAATAAAATTTTTAATAATTTTATTATTTCAAAATCCAGACAATATTAAGAACACTCTTGGCATCTAGTAAAGCTCTGCTTTTTTTTGGAAATACTGGGTCTACTATTTTTTTCTAGCTTCGTTAAGTATTCAAATGTTCGAGAAAAAAAAGCCTACAAGTGAAAAGTGATGAATACTTGAACGCAGTTTATCGAGCTTACTTCGCTCAAAACTATAGAGTTAAAATTAACATAGATCTTGACCAATTGCCATAATGATAGTTACACAAAAAAATGAATGAAGAAAAAAAAATGTACAACTGACAAAACAATGTTTTTTTTTAAAATATTTCGAAAATGTTTGCAACATCGTCGAATCATTTTTGCATTTAAAGTTAAAAGATGTATCTCGAATGTTTCAAGAAATGGAAAGAAATGGAGAAAAATTACAATGGACTGTGAACTTAAGCATGAAAGATTTAAAAAAAAAAAAAAAAATTGTAATTTAAATTTAGTATGAATACGCACTTAATAATTATTAGCGAGTTACTAAATTTATAAATGCATTACGATGTATATTTAACTAAAAAGTCAATTATAATTTGAAAATAAAGTTGTTTTGACTAAAGTCTTAAATATGTGTACTCTAGATTGACTGGCTGTACAATTTTTATAAACTTTTAAACTTAAACAATAACTCATTTTTACTATAATTTCTTTAAAAACCAATATATACTAAGTTAAAAAAAATATAGCATGTTTAATAGTGTAGAAATCATTTTGTTTTGCCAAGATGAACGTTTTCTCAATAACAAGTATTGACAAAGCTGACATCTAAACAAAACTTGATTTTTGTGATTGTGTCCTTAGTAAAATAAAAATGTGTTAAAAGTTTATAAAATCAATTAAAACATTTTTTCAGAAAAATGAAAGTTTTTTATTTTTTTTCATTTATACATTTTATTTTTTTATTTACAATGCACAACATTCAAATTATAACATTAATAAATAGACTAAAGGTTCATATTGAGGCCGG